CACTCAAATCCGAAATCCTTCAAGGTAGTTTTCCAAAACTTCTATTTCATCAATTTATGAACATAGAACTAGTTTTAATTAGTTCTAGGTTGAACTTTAGATCGGGCATTGAGTGTTCAGTGATTAGAAACTAGGTATTACAACTAATTTCATCAAAAACACAAGAATTGTTCAATAATTTTGAAATTTTTGAAAAAACAATGTTTTCACATTATTGTGTTTTGATTGAATTATGTTGTTGAAACTATACATATATTGTTTCTCAAAATCGTATTTTTCAAAAGTTTTCAAAAACCTTGCCCATTAGGATTGATTTAGAGAACCTTGAAATATTAAGGACTCAATTCAGTTTTGGGATTGATTGAATTGCATACATGTATTTTCTAAATTGCAGGTTATCCATTCTATTCCGATTTTCTAAACCATGTCCAATCCTAAACGTGCTAGGTCATCATCTAGTCGCTCACACCGTCAACCAAATCCACCTCCAAATCCTTCTCCAAATCCTCCTCCTATTCCTGAAAATCCAATTCCTAATCCTAATCCCATTGATCCTAATTTGACTATCCAAAATTCGTGCTTTAATCATCCTGGTCCTAGAAATCATCGTTTTTGGTATTATCAATATTTCGACTCTTACAAAATTAGAGAAGAACGTATTCCTTCTCGTCAAGCTATGTTAGATATTAATTTTAAATATCTTCCTCTTTTACAGGAGTGGAAATTTGATAAACTTTTTGATCTTGAACCCATTGTCTACCATCAACTTGTTCGTATTTTCTATTCTAATTCCGTTTGTGTTAAAAACCGAACTGAAACCGAAACCATAGGAATTCGTTCCTACCTCCTAGGATAATTCTTATATATTGACTTGGCTTACATAGCCAATGCATTCGGATTAGATAATGATGGTATTTCAAATGAGAAACAAATCTTAGGATCTCGTTATAAAGAAGGGATAGTGCAAGTGTCTTAGACCTTCATGGAACGTTTCTTCATCTAATGATTTCTTGGTGGTTCGACCATCCGGATGTCGTTATTCTACTCTTAGAGCCTGGATCTTTGGTGGTTACATTGTTTTGAAAACGGTATTAAAATAAACCTACCTCAGATCATTTTGCTGAAATTGTTGAAACCGTAAACCTTGTACCTAACAAGAAACTCTGTTCATCTCTAGTTTACGGTTGCATTTGAGTAACCTATTTCTAAAGCGGGCTTAGAGTTGGTCTAAATGCCTCATTTCCTCTAAAGAAAACAAATTAATCTTTTTCCTTACAAGAGAAGGATGGATAAAGGTTAAGGAAACCGGTGAATGGATTCGATCGTCTGAACATACTCCAGGAGCTAGTTCTTCACGAGCTCAACCAGAAGCTGACGATGATCCCGAGCTTCAACAATTAATGCGAGACATCGATGAAGCCGAAAACAACGAAGCAACCAACGCGCGTATTAATGAACTCACTCACGAAATGGCCGCTATGCGAGCTCGTTTTCCTCCTCCCGATCCGGATGTTTGATTCTATGCTTAGTTTTAAAACTTTAAACTAAAGGATTATTGCTTGAACATTTTGAATATTTTGGAATGTTTGAATTTGAGGATTGTTAGACTTTGGATTTGTTTGGACGTTTGAGCTTATATATTTGGCTTAGTTAAATTTATTGCATCATTTACATTATTTTAGCAATATGACCAATTTTTCCATGTCACATTAATTATGAATATTGATTATGAAACTAATGGCTAACATTTCTCTTGATTGTGATCTTAGCAGCTTAAATTATATTCAATTGGCTAAATGATTTCAAAACCTTGTTTAAATTCTTTACAAATGTCTTTTTGATTTAACAAAATGGGGGAGAAGTGTTAAATGTTTTAAAAGAGGAGTAAGTGTTAAAGTAAGGGGGAGTAATTTTCAAAAACGTCGGTTTTTGATTTCAAAATCTTAAAATTACTAAAATGTTTTGTTATATCAAAAAGGGGGAGATTGCTGAAAACATTTTGATATCTCGATATAACAAATTAAGTTAAATGAATTTTAAGATTGTGCAATAAAGGTTTTCTAAGTATATTCGATATAATTATTCGAATATCAAAACATTACTCTAAATCTTTTAAAAATCATTTTTAATCCTTACTCAAGTGTAAAATTAAGTTTTAATCTTAAAAAAATTTCAAATTAATTTTACAACGTATTTCGAACCATTTCAAAGCCAAAAATTCCAGATTGCTCAGAGGGAACCGATTCCCCCCCCAAGGGGGTACCGATTCCCCCCTTAATGGTTTGGCTCCGAGAATTCCAGTATGCTCGGAGGGAACCGATTCCCCCCCAGGGGTACCGATTCCCCCCTGTGTAACGGTCGAAATATTTGAATTTTACACTTAGGGAACCGATTCCCCATAGGGGGTACCGATTTCCCCCACGCTCCAAGCTGTTTTATTAATTGTTTTCACACTAAAACGGCTATATTATCTTCTCTAATCATCCCCAACGTTAAGAAGTGATTCAAGGTGTATTTAAGCAAGCTTAGAAGCCATTGATCAAAAACAACAAATATCAAGCAACTAGAATCAAGAGAGAATCAAAGAGAAAGCATCAAACCTCAAGTTTGAGCATTTCAAGCCTATTTTTCATTCATTATTCATCTTGCTTTCAAGAACACTTATTGTGCTCAATTGTATTCATTTTTGAGTGTTCTTTTCTTTGTTCTAGAATTGTGCAAACAATCTACCTTGTGAGGATTTCCTTGTAAGTTTGCAAATTTGTATTGTTCTCTTTGGGAGAGAGTGTTCTCAAGAATTTGGGGTATAATTCTTGAGGGTTTGTAAGGTTACTCTTTGTCCTCAAAAGAAAGACAAATTAGTGAATTTGTGGAAAATCCTTAGTGTGGATATCTAAGGTAGTGGACGTAGACTTTGGTTGAGAAAGTTGAACCACTCTAAATCGCTGTGCAATTTCTTTCAATTTTCTGCAAAAGCTTCCACCAAAATTTTTATTGCCAATTCACCCCCCTCTTGGCCAATTCCGTCAATCGATTAACTCAACATAGAAGAATATTGAAATTTAATCTCATTCAAGAAGACACTTCAATTTTTATGAATTGTTCTAAAACTTTGAAGTTACAACTCTTTAGATCACTTCAAACTTTTCTAACATATAAGAAAATCAAAAATGTTCCTCAAAGTCCGAAAGTTCTCATGATATTGTTTTTATGGAATCAAAGATATGTTCTCTCGTTAAATAACTTTGAAATCCTCCAACGTCTAGAAAAATATCGAATATCCAATTAATTTGAGAACATGTCCTGTTTAAAAATATGATGAAGCTATTAAAAACATGTCGCAAGCCTTTTAAAATGATTACAAGATTGAAAATTTGATTGATTCGAAAGAACTTAACTTACTCAACATCCAGAGTAAGAAAGGTTCCCCTCGAATGACCATGGTTGTGAAAAAATGTAAATAATAGATAATAAATAATTTTAAATAAATATAAGAAATTAATACAAGGAAAAACATACATATATATGTACATTAATACATGCGATGAACATTCCTAATAAACCATGAAATAAGCTTACCATATATATACACACACGTATATTTATATATATTACCACCAAACACTAAACAATATATACATAGCACAAATGTTACTTAATATATATATACTACGCCTAAATCATGCATAACAAGCAACTTATAAATAACCTAAGTAGTATAATATAAGGCAAATATATATACATATATATGGGGGAAAATCAACAACTTTAAAAACCATATCAATGGTAAACGAGTCAAAAATCATTTCAAAAATAAAAATAATAACACATTATGCGTTGAAATAAAAAAATGACCTTAAATATTAAATTGGATCTAAACGGAAGTATTTAAAATAAAACATCCTATGTACAAAGCAGCACAAGATTGAAGTGAACATAGAAAGGGGAATGAAATGAAATGCATTAAAATTACAAGTCAAATATAAAGTAAATGAAAACTAAAGCAAAACTAGTAATCAGTGACCAAAATGATATGTGCATAAAATATAGGGTTCAAACATACAATTTTCTTTCTTTGAATCTTAACAAAATACAGATAAAATGAAAAGGGAAAATTTACATTAATAGTCACTACCATTCAAAGAACACTAAAAAATGACATTATCTAGTGACCAGAATGCAAAAACACATAAAAGTTAGGAGGGTCTAAGCAAGAATAAACTAAAAAAAATAGCACTAAACATGAATATTGGAAATAACGCAATAAGGACATCAATTTCGAGACATAACAAAATGAACAAAAGATTGGGGACCATTTTGTAAAAGGTGCTAAGAGTTAAGGGCATAAGAATGATTTTTACCATTTCTCTTAATCTCATCAAATATAAAACCCCTTTTTTATTATTTTACCTTCATTTCCCCTTTTCTTTCTCACTTTTCCTTCTAACTCTCTCATTCTTTCTACATTCCAGAAATCAGTGAAAGAATCACATCGGTTGCCGTTAAGGCCCAAACTACCTCAGTCTACTCGCTCCAACGTCGAAAATGCAGTTTCATCTCCACAAAAAAGTCAAAAACATTTCGATTCACCTTATTGATCTCCCCAGTCAGCCATTGGATCGAGTTGGCCTTGAGATATATGACGCTCAGGGACAAACCACTCCTTCTTATTGTTCGGATTAGCCAATGGATGCCCCAATCGCCTGTGAAGCTTTGGCCAAGAAGTAAGCTTTCTACCTTTTATTTTTTTAGTTCGAATGTTTCTCTTTTTCCTTGTTTTCGAATGAGGATCAAAAAATGGAAAATAGGAGCCGATAGACTCTGCTTTCATTTATTTTCAAATGGAGGAAAAAATATCCCCTTTTACAGTTGTTTGTGGGTTTTTATAACCCGATTTACAAAATAATAAAAAAATTACAATTTGTTCTTTATGTTTGCATGTGATTTATTGATGAGAAGAGCTCGATTGGTGGAACAGTGATGGCATCAGGGGAGTGGAGATGGTGCAGTAACAGTCAAGGCATTTAATGCCCCAAATATTAAGGGATTTCTTCTTTTTTATTTTTGTGTTTAATTTTTGTAAAATAACATATATATATATATATATATTGTGTGTGTGTGTGTATGTGTGTGTGTGTGTGTGTGTGTGTGTGTGTGTGTGTGTGTGAAAATTTGGTGATTACAGATGCCCCTCTTTGCTCATTACTGTAGAACATAAATATGACAATGATATAAATCACCAATTTTATCTAATTTGACTGCTTAAAATTCTTGAGCTATAAGTTCTTCTCATTACGAACTCTTCACTTATCTCTGGGACGAGTTCTTCTCATTATGAACTCTCCACTGGAAATACCGATCCACCTTCTTCAGTGATGAAATCGAGTAAAGGTTGAACAAGGTCTTCTCATTATGAACTTCTTTTCCCTCACAAATGAACTCTTCTCATTATGAACTCTTCATTGGAAATGTCGATCCACCTCATTCTGTAATGGAATTTGGAAAAGGTTGAACAAGTTCTTCTTATTATGAACTTCTTTTCCCTCATTGGATGCACTCTTCTCATTATGAACTCTCCACTGTAAATGTCGATCCACCTCCTTCTGTGATGGAATCGGGAAAAGGTCGTGTTATGCTGATCCAACTCTTTATGTGATGGAATCAAGTGAAATGGTAATGTTGATCAAACTCCTTATGTAATGGATGAGACAAGGTTGAATAAGTTTTTCTCATTATGAAATTTTTCTCCCATATCGGACAAGTTCTTCTAATTAGGAACCCTTCAATTGAAAATGTTGATTGGTTATCATATCTTTGAAGAGTTTTCAACTTGTAAAAGATTATCATATGTCAGTGATATGCATTTAAAGTACCCGAAGGCAGTAACCCAGAGGTCCCTAATACTTTGTTTAGATTCACTTCTTTTAATGGTGAAAATATGGACTAAATCTTTGTTAAAATCATATTCTTTCTCACGAAGTCGTGAAATGAGATCTTTGTTAACCTTTAGAATTCCTGTCAAAACATTGATAAAAAAAATGAATGTGTATGCTTCTATTTTGCAAATGCCTAAATATGCATGTACGATGTCATTTTAGCGTTGTAACTTTTACCGTTTCATAAATCTTTGCTTTATTCTCTTTGCTGAGTCTTTATCTTGTGACATTGTTCTTCTTGAACCCCTTTATTATTTTCCCTATCATGCATTAAAGATTTCAGAAAACTTTTTACAAATAAAAAGATTAACCCTGTGAGGTGGAATAAAATCTAGAAATAATCTCTTCCACTTATAAATTCATGTATGATTAGAAAGAATTTTTCAAGCTTATAACGTAGGCCAAGGCTTATGGTTATGAAAGAAAAGGATAAATAGGCCCAAACAAGTGTTTAAGGGTGATCGAACAAATGATCAATTATTTCTGATGCCTTCAATCTCTCCTTGCTTAATTTGAATTTGTTTTCACATGTCTTCTTCATTTTCTCGGATCGCTCTAGATTGTCTATTCATGAGTTTTCACCCTGTAGTTCACTTCCTTCTTTTTTTATCTTTAAGGATTCATGATCTTTCAACGAATGTAGCATCTAGAACTTTGAACAAGTTGAATGTTTAAGTTTGAAGATAACCAAACTCAAGAGAGTCATCATTGATAAAATACATCACACAAATGTTTCTCATTATATTCATATTATATTTCTTTCTCTCTCTTTATTTTTTTCCTTTTTTTTCATGAACTCAAAACTTCAATGTCATGTGAGCATAAGTCCCCTATTATAATTAAAACATGTCTTCTTATTCCTTGCCTATAGTTTACAAGGCTTAATCCTCGTAGTTTGATCAAAATCCACTTTTAGTGCGAGTAGACTTTTTCTTCACATGTGCCCCCTAATGTGGAGGTTGATTCTTGGTTAGGGTTGAATCAGAAGAAAAATATTATAGGCTTAAATAGAGACAACAAAGGTTATATTTTATCGTTTTGTGAAGGGATAATGAAAGAAAATCGTCCATCATTTCATAACATAAGTCTTTGGAAAAGAGGTATCCCCAGAGGGATGAATATTTAGGATTAACTTTTATTCACATGAAAACAATATAATTAATGCATGATAGAATTATTTCAACTGTTTCCTGTATTTCCTCTTTTTCTGGCTTCGAGTATGCCCTAATTATTCGAGCTTATCTTTAGAAAGTTGATCCAGGATGCCCAATTTAGTTTTTCTTTTCAAAATGATTCACGTATGGATAGATATCTAGTACTCCATGTCTCTGGGGTTTTATTGAGGTTGAAAAATATTGGTTTTGCACCTGAGAAGATAGGGGTGTGACTTTGAAGTCGTATCTTTAGAGAAAAGTAGTGTTATGAAAAGATCGACTCAACATGAAAAAGTAAAAGTATGAATTTGGTGTCTAAAAAAATAAAGGTACGACTTTGGGGTCTCCAATAGATGTAATTGAGGTAAAGACTATAGTGATTGTACTTTTTCCTTTGGACAATATACGAAAGGTCTAATCTTATCACTTGCCAAATATATATAATTATTGAAGAATTAAAAGAATCTTTAATACATTTAATACTCAAAGAACTAAAAAATTAAAACTTGTTTCATTGTTCATAACCTTAAAAAGTGGAAAAAGTTCAAGCATCAAACTTACAAAATATTTAAGCAAATAAAGAAAGAACAAAAACAAATTCAAACAAGACAATGCAAGAAATAAAGCTTCATGATGGATGGAATGATCATCTTAATTCATATTAGGATGCCCCATTACTCACTAAGGGTTCATACCCCTGAATTAATTACAATCTAAGTGGTATACCCCGAGCTTCATATCTATGGCTCTCAATTCTTCTCTAGGTACGAACATGATAAATTCAATTTACTTTCAAGATTTTTGTGACGGAATCCTCTACGAATTATTCCCTTACTCCAGGATTGATGCATGTGGAAATGCTTAAATATCATGCAATGTTTGATGTCGAGATATGAATGCAAATATGCAAAGATGTGAATTCAAATGTAAAATGCAAAGAAGCAGATGCGAATGCAAAGATGCAGATTCAAATGTAAAATGTGAATGTAACAAACGTATTGATCTCAAAATAATTGCTCTTAGATCAATTCTCGAAGAACTGTCAATGTTTCAGTACTATGGGAAAGCGAAAATAAAAATTATATGGTTTTGTCTTCTAGCTATTCAACTCATGAGAGTGGCTAGTTGATGCATCGTTCTTCGTCAGATTTGGGCATATTGAAAACCTTCAAAGCTTATGCTTCCTCTCCTATGGAGGAAATTTGTCGAGCTGGTTCGTGATCTTTAGCTATTGGCTTCAGTGTTGAATCTTCTTGAGTCCAACTTGTTACCTTAGGAGGTAGATTGTCTCTTGAATCTTGTTGTTTTTTATTTGTCCACGGAGGAATCTTTGAAATTATATCTGACCCAACAAAAGGTATTGTCGTTTCAAGAATCTTCTAAATGACCAGTTATTTTATATATCAATACCTTGGAATGAAATGTAATATGTTTATGCAAAAATGAAAACACAACGATGCACGAAACATGACTAAAGGAAACCAAGTTAGTAGAAATGATAATTAAAGAAATGTGAGTTAGCAAAAATGAAAGAATAATTGAATATAATTCATATATGAGACATCAAATAAGTATTGTGTATAAAACATGCAAAGGAGATTAAAACCCTAACCAAATGCGTTATAGTTCTCTTAGGTTATCCACATGGCTCTAGTGGAGTAGGCTTACTGAATTCTCTACATGATGAGTTGGTTTTAAAAAGGGTACTCGAATTGTCATTTTCGGTGCCCCCTTGGACCTGCCAAACACTCAATTCTCACACATTAAAGGCTTATATGAATCGAGTTCAATTTAAATGGATGCATTTCCCTATACCCAATACAAAGGGTTATTCAGGAATGTATAGGTACTTTGTATCTCGGAAGTGGTTTACTAGCCCTTACGAAGGGTTACTCATGGAGGCATAGAAACCATCTCCCACTTAATTCAAATAAAGCTTGGGTAGAGAACTTATTTTTTGAATGTGTTTTATGTATGCCAGAAATAAAGTACACATAAATTAAATACACATAAATTATAAATATCATATCACTGTACAAACACAAAAAAAAACATATTATCTTTGAAAAAAATATTTGTCATCAAGCAAAAGTCATGCCCACTAAAAACATTTAGTTTTAAAAATGTCCCATCGGAGTCGCTAAGCTGCACCATTTTTTTACTCGATGAATAAAAAAATTGGTTTCGTACTTAAAGAAGTTTTGGGGGGTCATCACCAATCAGTTTAGGTGTGATTGGATCTTTAGGATCTACGAAAACCATAATCTGGTTCGAGGGCACGGTTACGTGTGAGGAAGGGGTAACACCCTCACCACGCTCGTAAAAACGGCGCTCACTTGATCACAAATATTTCATCTCGACTAATGTATGAAATTAATATATTTTTAGATTAATAAAGAATTTTTAAATTTTCAAGAATAACTTTGAATTCTCTAAAGGATAAGAGAATCAGAATTATGCTCGAAAACCCTAAAAATTCATAAATTAATCTGTGAAAATTTTGATGGCAAAGTCTTTCATAAGTGATTTCAAGCATTCTCTAACGTTTAGAAGAATATTGAAATTTAATCTCATTCAATAAGACACCTCGATTTTTATGAATTGTGCTAAAACTTGGAACTTACAACTCTTTAGAACACTTCAAAATTTTCTAACGTCTAAGAAAATTAGAAGTGTTCCTCAAGGTCCAAAATTTCTCATGATATTGTTTTTACGAAAAAAAAAATCACAGATATGTTCTCTTGTTAAATAACTTTGAAATCTTCCAATTTCTAGAAAAATATCGAATTTCAATTAATTTGAGAATATGCTCTGTTTGAAAATATGATGAAGATATTAAAAACATGTCTCAAGTCTTTTAAAATGATTACGAGATTGAAAATTTGATTGATTCGAAATAACTTAACTTACTCAACATCCAGAGT